TTTTGTATAACCTATAATAATTTGCATTACATTTTCAAACTTTCAATTTATAATTTAAAATTAATAGTAATCATGCAAATTTTATTAAGTAGGTATAGAAAATGATAATTAGACTTAAGTAACAGTGCAATGATAAAGTTTCCATGGTAGTTATTTTTTGTTGCTGTCAATTCCATCAAAATTTAAAGTGGATTTATGCAAAATTTTTGTTAAATTCTTGTTTGGGAAACTCATGAGAACTGAAAATACTTTTATTCAATTTTCAAACTTTAATTTATTATTAGTCGGAATAAATTTATGCTATTTTAAATACCTACTGCAGCCATTTCAAAATTTAATGATATTTCAAGAAGCTATCAGTGAAATCGATTTAATTGTTTTATGGATATTCAAAAATTTTAAATTTCCATTATCATAGTTTATACTTATATTAGGTAGTTATTTTATTGTAAGCCACATATTTTTTATGAAGGATTGAAGTTTACCTACATTTTGATGACATTAGAATATTGAACATTCAAACTTGTATGTTAATTATTATCGATTTACCTATTTTCAAACGAATTTTGTTATTACCATGTTATCCAAAAAATAGGTAGGTATGCATAGTGATTTTTAAAAATTCACGTTAAGTTAAATCATATTTCTTTTATATATAATGAAATTGTAAAAATAATTAAACAAATTATTCAAGCTATATTTATAGGCATTTTAAATTTTCGAATTATTTTAGTTTTTATTTTACTGTTGCCATTTAAAATATTATGCTCATCAGATAAAACAAGACAAAATAATGAATAAAAGTATCAAGGCGTCCGCAGAAATTTTTCTAGGGGGGGGGGAATGTTAGGCTTTGAGGATAAATATTATAATTTAACTAGGTGTTTTAAAATAATAACCTCTTTTGTTATACTCGTATACAATGTATTATATTTTATTATATTACAACTTATTTTATACTTTAAATTTATTGTATAGTATATACAATGAATGAATGACTATTCATTTATCTTAAAACATTCAATTAAAAAAAAATATTTTGAAAAAGCCAGGGGGGCAAAGGCCCCAGGTTGCACCCCCCTGCGGGTGCCTATGAAAAGTATTGTACTTGTAGCAATTTAAAATTATCAAAAATAAAAGAGCATCATATTTTGTTTTTATTGACATTCGAAAAGTTCTAATTTTGATGAAATTGGATATCGAAATGAAAAATAAAAGTCTATCCACGAACTATAGTAAAGTGCCTCCACGCAATATCGTATTGTTATAACGCTGTCACCTGCAGTGTATACTTATTAATAATAATAATATAATATTATATAGTTATAAATATATTATATATTTAAAATTCAAATAAGTTTAGGATATTGTGTTGTTGGATAATACGAGAACGATATCGAAACGTATCATCGACATTGGATACTGGATATAATATTATGCTAAACAAATCAATTTCTCGATTTTATTCACTTGCAGCTCCCTCGACGTCGCGGTTCGTATTATAACATAACATTATTACACATTCTTTGCACACAAATAAACATTAAACAACGTCAGATCTATTGTGCGTTGTGTGTGTGTTTGTTTCTGTGACTTGTCGGGCTCGGGCGACGACGGACACGGCCCATGTGAGACGAGACAATGATTTCACGCAGCATCTGCAAAACCGCCGCCGCCGTCGATGACGCCGCCACGGTCGCGTGTTCCAGTCGGTCGGTTTCCAGCAGCAGCCTCTGTGCGCGCACCCGCCGACTGAGCATATTTTATTATAATATATTATTATACGGTGCCGCAGCCGTGCGTGTATATGCCATATGGGGAAAGAGATTTTCTTTTTTCTTAACGAGCCCGCGGGTTACCAACACGCGACCCGCAGCCGTGTCGCCGAATCGGTGCCGGTGCGCCGTTTTGGACACCACTAGATCTGGGCGAGTCTCGCACGCGCGTCGCTGCTGCAGTGGGGTGTCCGTGAACACAAAAGGACAACCGAGCTGAGGTCTCGTCGTCGGGCTACCTTAAATAATAACGCGCCCGCGCTCGTGCATCCATCCCTTGATATATACATCGCCGCCCGAGATGTATTTTCCTTGTGTGCGCTTGTGTATTATGTATATAAATATAATATCATATTATGCCTACTCACAATACAATAATACAATATAACGATGATGATGATGATGATGATAATAATAATAATATAATATAATACTAGCCATATATAATAATGTATCGGGCCAAAGGTAAATCCATTATGCGCGTTTTGTACCTATTGGGTTTTTAAAAACGTACCCCCCGAGTATAAAAAAGAAAAATATAAATAAATAAAAATACGGCTCGCTGATGAAATTATATTATTATGCTGTCGACCCATTATAACTGGCTCGCGGTGTGTGTGTATAAAATATTTTGCGGATAACCTCCGATGGCACAATGAGGTTTGGTTACATCTCCGATTACTCTGCGTGTGCATAAGGCGGTGAGCCATTATGCGCGTCCGTCCGAGTGTAAAACCGTCCGCACCGATGTGCGTCCAAACGTGTTAATTCCGTGTGTTTTGCCATAAAAATAGCTATATATATGGCCGTCGCCACT